TGCAGAATGATGGAAATTATGGGATTAATGTATTCTGCTCTGTAGTAACCTTTGTTGAACAATATAATTCCTAATCTTCATAATTTATTTTTTATTTTAAAAACATTTGTGCTGACATTCAAGCGAATGTTTAAAAATGACATTTTGAGTTGCTGTGCGACAATTTGTTCAGAGTATTAAAATGAAATGTTTTACTTTTCTTATTTTGTCTGTATTTAAAGCTTTAATAAACAGTACTGACAAAATATTACTTTCAACTGTCTGTATTCACATATTCTTGAAGGAATACAACATGAGAAGTACAAATTATCAGAAAAAAAAATAACATTTGCAGTATTAACTATACATATAACCACATTAATCAGGTCACCATCAGCTTGAACTGGAGCACTAGAAATAAACAAGTTTGGTATGGTAAATTTTAAACGTAATTTGAAACCTTTCAAAATTAAAACCAAAGGCTGAAATAAATACAATACATATAATATAAATATAAATACAATATAACTGGTTTCTTTTAAGTCGAACATGACATGCCGGACTGAATATAAATGCCCAGTAAGGTGGTTGGAAAACAAAGATTTGTCAAAAAAAAAAAAAAAATGCAAATGGTGAAATTATTAAAAAGATTAAAAAAAACAAGAGGATTGGGGCCACCAAGCAGAGAATTTCTTTTGTCTCCTGAGTTGTGACTTGTCATATTTCTGAGAACAAAAGTATTTTGATTAAACTCAGAAATGTGAGATATATTCTGAAATAAAAGTCCGAAGATTTTTATTTTCTTCTCTTGAGGCCCTAATCCACTTCTGTAGAAACTGGATTAAAGTGAGGTGATTAAGTTCAAGTAGCTCAACACTTTTATGGTACTACTTTAAACTAAGGCTTCACTTATAGATGGGTAGTATATAATTTATAGAGGAATTAAAAACGTATCTGTAGACAGTTTATAAATCATTGACTGCTTATTATGCATTAATTGAGTGACAGAGACAAAACTGACCAGTTTCTTGCCTGATATCCAAATCTGTTCTCCTATATCATCTAGTTGTTACATTAAACTTTTCAGATTAAGTTACTACCTTGTAAGCACAATAAGCATTTGTAAAACCATTTTTTTAGGATTATTGTTATTGTGAGTACAATGTTGTAACTTAGTCTGAAATGTTTAACAACTCTAGATGAATATAGGTGAACAGATTTATCTCAGTATTTTACAAAGAACTGGTCAATTTTGTCTCCGTCATCCATAATTAAAGCATAATAAGTAATTATTAAAGCTTTACAAAGTGTTTACAGAGGATTTAATAACGTTTCTATAAACTATTTATTAGCCATCTATAAGAGGAGCCTTATTGTAAAGTGGTACTCTTCAAGTTCAGTCATTCAACGGTACCTGCACATTATTTTACAACAACTTTTGAACCAAAACACTTTGCTAAACAGGACCAGCCTTAGCAAGGTTTGCATACAGTCTCTAAGTTTTATTTTAACACAACTATACACTTGGAGAAGTGTATGTCACTCTAGCAGAAACCTCATGTTCTCCCAAATCCCTGCGTGTTCCATAAAGCAAAGTCCATGTTTTCCTTAAACACCTCATAAGTTGTTAGGAGCGGGAGTTTCAAGCAGTTTATACAGGTGTTGGCCATGGGAAGCATTAGTTTTGATGAGCTTTCTTCACTACCCTCATGAAGAAACTCGATGGATGGTGCTGGAATAAAGCCGATTGGTGGTATCTCATTTGCTCCAGTTGCAAATACAAGAATGTTTTGAAGCTTGGATGATCCTTCCTCATCTGTGGGAAAAACGTACACTGTTAATTTTGTTGTCATTTTGGTACCATTTTGCCATACAGTTTAAAGTTCATAGTTCATACAAGCGTAGTCGTCACAACTACGCTTATAATATAGAGTATAGCTTATAATATAGAGCATCACTATCCACAGTGAAACAAGTCCTGCACCAAGATGGGCTCAATGGCCACTCAAGGAGAACTTCAAAGGCAACATGAAAAAAGTCACGAGGTCTGGAATATTAATTTTTGGAGACACACCCAATCATCATGCTGTAAAAGTCTACCTGTCTGGCCATAATGTCCATTGTAACAAGGGGAATATTTAAATTGTAAAGCAGAGAATATTTGATAAATACCTTCTGCATCCTGCAGATAATCTCGCCACAAAGGAATGACCGTCTCTTCCACGCTTCTCCTGTTACTTCCTTTGGGAGCAAGCCGAGGGGTGAAAAGGTCATCCATCATGTCAGCAGTTAATGGCTGTGGTTCATGGCAGAACAAAGTCCGAAAACTGTCTGGATGTTGCTTCACAACATCCAAAACGCCAAGTGTCTTTAGTCCTTCTTCAAACCTGTACCAAATTAAATTAACCACAAATTTAATCCTAGTCTCATACTAATAAACTGAGCTTAATTGTTTTCATGCAGTAGAAGAAATAAGGAGCAAACTAAACCTTTGAAAAGGGCCCTGGACTCGGTGAACAACATGAAACATTAGCAGATCATGCATGAGAAGATCTCGATCACTGATGGTTGTTAAGAGTCTGATGCAACCTGCACTGGCCATGTAGTCTAAAAGAGGATCAGTGGCTCTTTGAAGCTCCTCCAGAGTCGAACTTTCAGATACCTACAAAGGGCAAATGGACAACACAATCTTATTTCACTCAGAAATAAATTTGAAAAACCTTACACGTAATGATAGTCTATAAATCTTAAGTAAAAAGTAATATAATTTTCAGGTGGATTAACCATTTGCAGTTTCTCGTGGAGGTCTGCATCAGTTATATCCTTTAAAGTAGGGCAAGCTGCAGCTGGACCTCCAACCAAGCACGCGAAAAGGACCGGAGAAAGGAAACGTGGAGCTGGACCTCCATGGACAAGGCTAACAGCTATTGCCCTTCCAGCCATAAAGTACTTGTCCTCCCTGAGGGCTGCATGGCAAAAAAAAAAATAAAATAAAAAATTCTAGAAATACATTTGAATCCACAGATGTTGACAATAAATAATGGAAGCTGAAGAATCCAAAACAAACCTGTACTGTTCATTGCTAAATTTTTGCTTTCGTCTGGACCTTCAAACATCAGAGACATGGCCAAGGCATCAATGAGAATACGCAGAAATTCTCTCCGTGGGCCACCCAAATCGACTGCCTCTTCATTTTTTCCGAAATCATCAGAAAATTTAACGTTCATTGAGAAATGTGGATTGTATGTTACCCTCTTAAATCCACGCATGGCACCATCTAAAACTTTAGAACGATTTATGTTAAACTTGCAGTGCATTCCAGTGTCAATTTTTTGGGACAACTCTTCAAGAATGTCTTTCACAGGCAAGGTCCTGGGTGAAGTTTCAGATCTGAAAGTAGACACAAAAAAATCCAATAACTTACAAGAAGAGTTTGTGATGGTCTGACATACAGAGCCTTAGATCTGAAGATTTTTTGGATCAGCTGGCCATTTAGTTGTTGACCATCTTGAAGTTTTGGAGATATCAGTTTATTTCCACAGCCCATGAGAATCTGAAGGCTAAATTCAATGGTTTTTATTTTTAGTTTATTTGTCCTTACTTTTTTGAATAAGTACTTAAAATACAGTAAGAGCATAAAACATTATCAATGTAGAATTACCTGACATCCTCAGGAATTATTAGGCCAAAGCCACCTCTGATTTGCTGGACCATAGTCTGATAGTCCCAAAACTTATGGAACTCAAAGGCACTCAGTATATGACCATTTTCATGCAAGTATTGCTTGAAAGGTGGCTTGCAAATCACTTCCCATGTGGCATTAGGAAGTAGTATTACATCTTTATTAAAGCTTTCATGGTAATGGATCCCTTTGGGTCTGAAAAACAATGAGGGGAGCATATTTAATGTACTTAGCAGGACAATTCCCAATATTACCAAAATAAGCCATGCATCTAAAACAGGCTGCGAGCATTTAAATTGGAACCAACGAA